GGGGAAGGCGGGGGAAGGGCTCGGCTGTAATGAAGCGCCTCGGAGGCGGAGGTGCAGCAGCGGAGGCAGCAGCGGCGGCGGAGCGCGCTGCTGCGTCTGTGCGCAAGTGACTCTCCTGTGCCACACACAAAAGGCTTCCTTCTCCCCACCTTCTGCCGCCTTTCAGTCCTCGGGCCCCCGCCGAGCCGGCTCCTGGGACTCCGGGGGCCTTCTGGCGACATCCCCAGAGCAGCTCGGCCTTTGGGACGTCCGCCGCCGCCAAGGCAAACCTCGCCAAACTTCTCCCAAACTCAGCGGGCTGGGGAGGGACCCAGGCCGGAGGCGCGCATGCGCCCCGCCCGCTGCTCGCCGTTCCCAGGGTTCGGGAGAGGCGGGGTGGGGTCGGACCAGCATCCTCCGAGGCCTGCCTAGCCCCTGCTCCCGGGGCAGTCCGGGCTCGGGGGCTGTCTGTCTTCCCTCGAGGCTGGAAGTGGCTGCCCCGCGCCGGGCTCTCCGCAGTCCTGCTATCTTTGCGCATGGAAGTCTCCAAGAGGGGCTCCAAGAAGCAGCAAGCGGAGAGGGGGTCGAACGGCCTGAAGGAGGGCGGGAGATGGGACCCAAGGCTTCCTTTGGGGAAACCCGGGGTAACAACGCCCCCTGGTCGGGTGAGAAGCACTCAAGCGGCCGCCTGCAGAGGGCCCGGTAGCCTAGGGCGCAGGCAGCGGCGAGCTGGTTTTGTCTCAAGGCCGAGGCGCCAGCGCCAGCAGCTGCAGTGGCGGGGGCGCAGGTTTCTACTCTGCCCCTGCTTTCGGGGCTCTGGGGATCTACCCTTGCTTCGCGGCAGGGGGGTCTTGGCCCTGCCGTGGGTCCCCGCAGCTTCACGCCAACCCCTTCCCTGGGGGGTGGGCACCTGTTTCAAACAACCTGTTGCGCTGACATGGCTTTGGAGAGGCACCGGCGCACTGCTTGATGGTAGCGGTCTATGTGGAGGCCCCCAGGTGCCAGGAAAGAATTTAGGGTTCCCTACTAGTGAGAGGCACCCCTTGCCTGCCTCTTGTGGCACGGCAATGTGCTTTCACCCCTACCTGCGTCCCGGGAAACCAGGGCATCCTGGGCACTTATGCACTTTACCACTCTGGGGACTTACGTAGCACTCTGCAATTTGAGTAGAAAGACTAGACAAAGATCTGGGTTAGAGACACACCACGGGTTCATTAATCCTCGCTTTTCTCTTCTTTGTGTCCCCCGCCCTGCGCCCC